AAAGGGACTTCAAAAACTAAAATCTCCAGGACTGGACTGAGAGAGTCAAAAGCAAGATAGGAGGAATGCTGCATTCCCCCCCCCCCCCCCCGGGTGTGTCAACCCCTACAGGGTGAGAGGAGGAGGAGGAGGAAGCATCATGGGGGCAAAAGGAGCAATGGGAGGAAAGAGCTGCATGGAGCTGATCTCAGCAAATGCGCTCCATCTGGCTCAGTTGCCATGTGAGTCTCCAGATCTCACCAAAGGCTGCACAGTACAGGTTGCCCCAAAGAAAGACTTGGACTTTGGACCTCGACCCCACGTTCCTGGCCTCCTTGGGCCCCAGCAGCGCCAGCAAGGAAGAGCCTGCTGCTGCTTCCCTCACCCAGGGGCCAGCACAGGACAGCTTGGTGGGGGCGGTGGCGGGCAGCAAGGAGAAGCCCGTTGCTGCATCCCCTCCTCACTCTGGCTTCCACTGAGCTGTGCACTGGCAGGGAGGAGGGGAATCTGCGCTAGTGCAGGTGACCGAAGAAGGGCAAACTCCGAGTCCTCCAGCGAGCCCTGAGTCCTCCAGCAGCTTATGCTCTAGCTTACCCTCCCAGACACTTGACTGTCGACTGGGCTTCAAGGAACCGGGTGCGACTCTGCGAGGCCTGCCTCTGAGGCGCAGAGGGATGCGGTGAGACAACAAGAAGCAGCAGATGCCCATCCACACCACCTGACCAACTGAGAGCAAGTGAGGGCTGCTGGGAGCTGGGGTGTGCCCTTAGGAAGCTGATGCTAATAAGGGCGGAGCCCACTCCTCCAGCCAGTGGAGACCTTCGCAGCTGTGCTGGAGCTTGGGGGGGGTGTGAGAATCATAACTTGCTCCAGTACACACTAGAGGGAACTGATGCTCTAGCCCTCATCTCTATTGTTTTCATAGCCATAGAGACTTGGAGGACAAAATGCTAGAGGGCCACTTTTCCGGCTGCCATTTTGTTCCCCCGGGGCCCAATTTAAAAAAAGCGGGGGAGGTTTTTTTAAAGTGGGGGTTCCCCCGCCCTCAGCGGCGGCTTGGCAAACCTAGTAGATGGATAGAGAAGAGTAATGGGAATGTAGCAGAGTTGTTCATGTGTTTTGTTTAATAAACCTTTGAGAACCACTTTTTGGTATTATCCAGTATAACTTTATCAGCTATAAAATTCAGACTGAATTTTTTTTGAACATAAGTCTTTTGTCACTTAAACTGCATGGAGGGTATCTTCTCTGTCAGTATTTATTTGTGGTATATATGAGCAGATAAAAAAAAACTATTTGTTTCCTTTAACCATAAAGAAACATTTTAAGAATAAATGAAATGTACTAAAATCAAGAAACTGCACTGTGCACTTGCAGTAGGTGGACCAATATTAAATAGCATTGTAGTAGTTGTTACTGGCCTTTTAATACAAGGTGAACAATTTTGTTGTCATCTTTTAAAGTTTACAGACCAGAATGCATTAGGGGGGAAAGTGGGAGGTTGTGATTGCCCAGTAACTCATGAAAAAGCAATATGTTTAGCATGAACCATACAGTGCTCATAGTCCTACTTCTTGGAATATATTATCTGTCAATGTACTTATGCATGTCCAACATTTTGGTTACTCTACAGAGGCAATAGGATAGCTGATACCAACTAGCCAGTATCAAAAGGAGTGTATATTGGCAGGTGAAAAGATCTCATAGAAAATTACGGTCTTTGTCATCCATTGATGCTTACTACATGAATATCTGGGTCCCATAGTACAGTGATGTGCTTTGTATATATGAGGTATTTATTGGGAAGTCTGTACGGTTCATTTCTGATCCTTATTTGCTTCAGTAATCTTGATGGGCAGATATGAAATGGATATGTCTTTTAAATTGCGGTAATTTCCTCTAACTACAACTGCACGACTAATGAAAAGGTATTAGAATACAGACCTGTTATTAAAATGGGTATGTGAGCATTGAAGTACAATAAGAACATTGTGCATCAATTTCTGTCCTTGAGTATCTTAATTAAAGTCAGTTACCCTAGAAAAGAATAGATAAGCCGCCATGTCCTGCAGAGTTGTGGATGAGAGGATTCAGGAGGTACATAGACTGCCACAACAGAATAGTTCAAATGGATGAAAGACCTTGTCCAGTGTATATAGTATACTTCTTTTGGGGAGTAAATTTAAAAGGTCACAGTTGGATGGTGTTAAGTTTCTTAACAACAGTTTTCAATGCAGCAATTTTCCTATATTAGTTTAAGTGAAACTGGATTTCTTTGATTGTATCTGGAGCTTACTTTTTACTGTTTATGGTCAGATTTTTGAAAAAAGTTCTCTTGTTTACAAAGGAATTCATTATTGATAAGTGCTCAGTCATGGACTGGATTTTCTCCTGTGGAATATTTTGTGAAGTTTTAGTATGTTTGTAAAACTACATTACTTAGATGGTGCCTTATAAGGGAGGTTTGTTAGGCAGAGTTTGAATAGAAAAATGGCATATTTTCTCCTTTTCTAAGACCCACTGGTCTGCTTTTTACATCTTCTTCCTTTTCTCTTTGTTTTTCTCCATGAACTTCATGGGGAGTGTAATCATCACTTCCTACTTAGAGTTACGTTTATAGTTTATTTTGGAGGGGTAGGGTTTGTTTGGTTGGTCCACTCTTGTCGACTCTTTAGATCTTCGTGGATCCCCTGGTTTCTCAGTGGCATCTGCCATGTACTAGACAGCCCCCTTTAAAGTATGCATGGTGCAAGCCATGCATGTACCATGGAGGCCTCTATCCTGTGTCTTCAGCACAATATGGTGCCAGCCATATCAGCTACCCTTAAAAAATACAAGCTTACGTAAGGTGTTTATATTGTCTGTACATGGCTTTCAAGGTGAGGTTTTAGAGCGTAACTGATTCTGTATGACCCAACCTAGGTTCTAATCAATCTCAACCCTTGATTGGAAGGGACTTCCATGTTTGTTAGTGGTTTCTAGATACAGGCCAACTGAATAGTGGTGGGATGGGGTCTGGAAAAATTTCCAGAGCTCATAGAAATAGAAAAAGATCAGCATCACACATAGCCCAAACTTCTAGAATTTGATTGAAAATCATTGGCTATTGTCACTGCAGTAATAGATTATATCTTTCTGCTGAAACCCTTTGCATTGGAAAATAATGTGAAAATCGGTTCAGTTTTATACTGAGTGTAATTATATCTGCATTAGGACTGGAGCTCCTTGATGCTACTCAAAAAGAGCAAGAGTCCAGTAGCACCTTAAAGACTAACAAAATGTATGTCAGGGTATGGGCTTTTGTGAGTCACTTCTCACTTCACTATTTGAAGAATATTCAACTTGTTAAAGTTTATAGGGTTGAACTATTAATTCCAGGCAACAAATCAGCTTGTTTCCTGCTACTGTCCTTACAAAGAACTCATTCTCTCCCCCCACCCCCTCAGTGATGCCTAGGTCCTAGTTTGAGAAACTCTGATCTTAGAGTACTCTTGATAGCTTTTAGGAAGATTTCTAATTATTTGACTAATTATTTCTAGGTATTTGGATCTTTGGATCTTTGGAACACATCAGATAACACTCTTGGATAGCTTCTCCCACTCATTGGAAAGAGATCAACTCTCTCTTATTCCAGGGGTGAGGTAGCTGGAGTGACAGAGAAGAGTTTGGTACCAAACCATTTAAACACATGATTACAGTCCGCTTCTAAGTGGCAATGATAGCGGCAAAGAAAAATAACTTTGTATTCATGAAATAAATGCTATACAGTGTTGCTTTCCCAGGTGGGATCCAGTGTCCTGGTCAGTGTTCTCATTAAGCTGAGTTACTGTGAGCTAGCTCACAGTTTTTTAGCCTCTGGCTCACCCATTTTTGTCTTAGCTCAGGAGGAATGGCTCCAGAGCAAACTAATTTATGCAGTAGCCAAATCGCTTGCTCACAACTTTAATACCAGTAGCTCACAAAGCAGAATTTTTGCTCATAAGACTCCAATGATAAGAGGAGCATTGGTGCTGCTGTAACCTATTTAGTAAGCATCTTCTTCAGTTTGGAGTTGGACTGCAGATTGGCTGTGGTACAGTTCTCAGCTGGGCCCTTAGTGCTCTTATGCATCATTTGATTGAATAATTTCAGGTACTGTAAGTGTTGCCTATCCTGATTGATCAACCCTTGCCCATCTTGTACTCTAGTATAAGCCCATTGATTTCAGTAGAGTTCAGTAACTGCATAGGATTGCATTGTAAGCCCTTCATGTTTACCAAAGCCTTTAATAGTAATTTTGGTTGTTTAATAGTAATTTTGGGTTGTTGCTACTTATTCGTTTTTTTAATCTTGATTTTTTATTCTACTGATTAATTAAAGATTGTAAGCTTCCTTAAGTGAAATGGTAGGCTATCATTTTGGGTTAAAAGCAAAAAAAAAAAATTGCAGATATGCTAGCTTCTGAGCATGAGTGGAATACAGATAACAGGAAAATGGCCTTTCTTCTGATAAGATGTTCTTTTCCTACTGATTTTTTCAAGCTGGACTGTCCATCCTCCTCTCACAAAGACATGCCCATATTTTATATATATCTCCCATGCTTCTCCCCAGTGTAGACCCAAAGTGGCTTACATTGTTTTCCTCTCCTCCGTTTTATGAGCTGAGTGTGAATTACATCTTCTTTGGTAGATCCCTAGTAACATAGGTATTTAAACAGAGTTTGCGCTGTCATCTCCGTTTGCTGCAAGAATGGATATACTGATATCACTGGAAAGCAGATTTCATAAGTCATCAGAAGACAGTCGGTTAGAGCACATCATATACCACTAGGATCACAGTTGCCATGAGGTGTTTAAACCATCTCGGAGGGTTTTCTTTGTATTGGCAAATGGACGTTTTGCAGTCAGGGTTAAACAAAATGGAACACACAGGGATGTGATGAGGACACTATCTCTGCTTTACCAGAAGTCAGTGTTGTTTAAACAGGTTTGTTGAACAGAACAGAATCTCAATTCTCACACTATGTATTCTGGATATTACAGGGCCATAATAATCCGAAATGGAGAAATTATTCCGATGTCTTCAGAATTCACTCCAGAAACAGAGCGTCAGCGTCTTCAGTATCTGGTAAGAGGTTTATAGACTTAAATTAAAAATTGATGGTGAATATTGAATTTCTAGTCCTTATCTGAAAATTATTGTACTCATACAAACCATTCTGAATATTGGGTTGGATCCAACCAGTTTTTCTGTTTTTAAAATGGAAGAAGAAGGTCTTCTCTGAGCATTAAAAAAGAAGCTATTGTGAGGCTCTAGGGACCTGCATGGACAAAATCCAGATGTATCGAAGCTGTAGTTTGAATGGAAGATTGAGTGGGAAAAATGGCTGGATCCAACCTATTCAGAAAAATACAATCTTTTCATCTTTCGTTGCTACAATTTTACAGCAGCTCATTAATATATTGTAATCGGTGAGCACATAATCATTTAAAAGATGTGGGTTCAGGTGTTTGTTTATACCATTGGTGAAAAAGCTGCTGTAGATGCTAATCTTAACAGAGTTCTGTTTCTCATTGATCTCACTTTCCAACTAATTTAATGCAGATATTTTCATATGAACTATTTTGCAAAAATGATACTGATTGATGCTTTCTTGAAAAAACTGTCCTGAAAAAATGTTCTTGATCTACCATAACCATGGACTCATGCACTGAGGAGGAGTTTGGTTAGATATGTGAAACTTTTCTGAAGCCATGTGACACTTCTGAGGTTCATCCCTACTTTGAAATATTTTGTATGTATTGGACGTTGTGATATTAAATTTTGTTTAAAGTCATGTTGGCAATGGGGGTTATCTAAATATTTGGTGAGTATCTAAACAATACTGTTATACATCCCTGACCATGAGGTATTACTGCTGTATTGGTCAATATTAGACAAGTTGCTGGTGAATAATGTTGGACTTGCCAATGGACTGCATGCTGCTTCATCAGTCTCCCAAGGACTAATTTCCTCATCAAGCAACCACTTGGATTGTTTAAATGTTCTGATTGCTCTGAGTAAATCTAGAATGTTGATTGAAGGGGAAACTAGAGTGACAAGAGCGGACTGTAATCTGAGAGAACTGGGTTTGATTCTCCACTCCTCCCATGCAGTTGCTGGGTGACCTTGGGTCAGTCACAAGTTCTCTCAGAGCAGTTCTCTCAAGACCAGCTCTTTCAGAGTGCTTTCAGCTCCACCTACCTCAAGGTGTCTTGTTGTGGGGAGAGGAAGGGAAGGAGATTGTAAATCGCTCTGAGACTCTGAGTGAAGGGGAGGGTATAAATCTAGTCTCCTCCTCCTCTTCTTCTTCTCCTTCCTCTTCCTCCTCCTTCACTTGACCTTGGGCTGTTGCCCAAGTTACTGCAAAGTGATATGCTAGGTATATTACAAACTACTCTTAAATGAAATATTTGAATCATCCTGAAGTGAAAACAACCTTGTTTAGCAGGTGCTGGAAGATCTGCATGTTGATGGTAATCTCTGTGGTTTCAACTTTTATAATGGAAACGTGAAATCCCTTTGTTCAGCCATGGCATCTGGCCTGTATTTTAAATTCTAACAAAGCAACTGGCACCTTAGGCATATGCTACAAACCAAGCTGTTGCTCTCTGTCTCTAAAATCCAAGTTTAAAACTAGCACGTCATCATTACTACCCTTCCCCACTGTGTGTAGAGGCTGACTGGGGCAAGTTTGTGAAGACCAGATGGCCTTTCCCTTCTCAGAAATGCTTGGTCCAAGTGTAGCACTGCTTGGCTGGTTATAAATGTCAAAAACAGTGTTTGTAGGGAGGGGGAGTTGTTACCCCTACCAGCCTTGATTTAAAAAGCTGAATAGCTGGTTTTAGTTTCTGGGGAAAATTAGTCAAATGATAGGCCTCAGGGAGAGGTGGGGTAGTAAGCGCAGATCTGCTATCAATTTTTACGGAGATAGTTCCTTTAAGACCCCTGTTTGAGTCAATAACCTGTCCATATTGTAAAAGAAATTGATTTTATCAGGGGAAAATAATAATTTAGGTATTTACACTCAAATTAAGGATTGCAAGCATACAAGGAGATATAGAAAGAAGTTAGCAGACAGAGGGGTGGGGAGGTTAGGGGAATACTATACCTATCCAGATGTGCAGGGGTCCATTGCTGGAAAGGGAGGTGACCCAGACTGTGGAGTTTGGGGGTGCATGTCTACTGTAGGCTGCCTCAGAGTGACACACCTTGATGGCCATGTGTTTTGGAGGATATAGACACTGGAATACAATGCTGACCAATGTGAAGCCTTGAGGGACTTGTCCCAGGTGAAGACAAAGATTACCTGCACCAGTGAGGGGTCCCAGGGGGTGTGGTGCCAAGAGAGGCAGAACCTCAGTGTGACCAATGAGGTTTCAGAGTGGCAGAGTCTGGATTCACAATAGCATTGATGGGATTAGCCAGGTGCTGGGTGGCTCTACTGGAGCCAGCTGAATGGGTTTGATGAACACTAATGGTCCTGCCATTAGGTTCCCATGTTCAGACAAAAGGTGAGAGATGCATCCCTGATTAGCATTAGGAAGGATTGCTAAACATTTGAATGTATGATTGGTTTATCTTGGTATCCTGATGGAAGAAGCAGGAAGGACAGTTGCGAAGACAAAGGATTTCCACATAGAAACAGATTTTACACATAGAGGCTTGGTGAAGTTCTGGAGACAGAAGGGCTATTCGCCAGGTGGCCTCTGAATAGTCTTTAGAAATGTAGATACTTTACCTGGTGGAACCCATTGTTATTCCATAAGCATACCTCTGCTGGGTGGAGGAGGAGGTTGGATATTGCTCTGAGGGCTGCCTTGTGCGACCTGAAAATGGAGAGCCTTTCCCTAGAGCTTTGGCTTGCTCTGTGGTTCAGGCTGAGAATGCTTCACTTGGCCTAACTTCGTGAGTCTCTGGTTCAGGTTAGAAGTGGGGGGCCCCATTATTTAGGGTTACCTGAGAGTAAGGTAGCACCTCTGTGCTACACAATGTATACTATTCTGTATGCAGACTTTATTGCTACTCAGTGACATTGCCCAAGTCTGAAACGTTTCAGAGGGAAGAACTACTTTAGAGGGTATTCATATTCACACAGATGAATACAAAGCAACTGTAATAAATATTTATACTTTCCTACATTTAAAACAATTTGTTTGCCTTTTAAATTAAAAGTGGAAGTGGGATATTGCTCTAAGACAGCAGAGATAAAACATTGCCTGTGAGGATCTGTTTTTTGCTTTCCTCTTTTGATGTCCTTTCTGGTTAGATTTAAAAACATCAACTGATCTGAAAAACAGTTTTGCCATTTTCCTTTACCTTTGTTTGCTTGTTTCATCTTGATATGTACCAAATGTCCTTTGGGCTATGGAGATCATGTTCAAAGAAAATCATTGCAAGTTTTGGAAGCGTGAAACCACATTAGAGAGACCGTTTTCAAATGCATTGGACGTAACACATAGTGCCTAACAATACTAGGAAAATGAAGTGCCCTCTAGGGGTACAGACCTCAAAAGGGTCCAAATTAAAATAAGAAGAAGAAGAGAAGAGATCGGATTTATTCCCTGCCCTTCTCTTGGCGTCTCAGAGCGGCTTACAAACTCCTTTGCCTTCCCCTCCCCACAACAGACACTCTGTGAGGTGGGTGGGGCTGAGAGAACTCTGACAGAAACTGCTCTTTTTCAAGGACAGCTGTGCCAGAGCTTGTGACTGACCCAAGGTCACATCAGCAGGTGCAAGTGGAGGAGTGGGGAATCAAACCCGGTTCTTCCAGATTAGAGTCCGCACACTTAACCACTACACCAAACTGGCTCTCAAAGCACCACATCTCAAAAGTCTGGTCAAGTTTGACATCAGCCCCTCTTTTCTCCAATCCTCATTGTTATCAGGGACTGGCAACAGTTACCGTTCATTACTTTGATGGTATTCCCAAGAGGGTTCCCATCACCACTGTTAGATCTACAAGGCTGCCACCAGTGCTTGTATATCTCCTCCCAGTGTGCCCTACAACTGCCCACCTTCTTCGTCTCACTTTTATCTTTTTTTCTTCCTCCTAGTTTTTCATCTTGATCTAATGTTTTGCATAAGTCATTTGCTGGAGAGAGATTTATATGCTTTGTGTACATTCACATACTTAACAATTTACAGTAACCAAGAACTAGTTTGGCATGTTCTTCTTTTCCTTTCTTGACTAACATTTCCTAAGGAAAATATCCTAATCAGTATAGATCACACACACTGCTGACAACTGCCAAGAATAAAATGTTAACAAAAATTGAGGAAGTAGATCGTATATAATAGAGCACAGGTCCCCAGCCTTTTTCAGCCACAAAATAGCAGCTGCAGGAGGTGGAGCCAGACACAAAATGGCTGCCACAGCTTATTTCAATCATACAGTGAGGAATCTTGTGTTGAAATGGCAGCTGCTATGAAAGCAACATTGTTAAAACTCTGCACAGCCAGTCAGATGTCTTGCTGGGCAAACGCCCCACTTGGCTCTGCCCACTTTCTAAAACCACTTTTCTTTTATTTCAAGCTTTGGACCAGGCCCATAGCCAGGATTTTTTAATTAAGGGGGGGGCTTTAAGTTGGGGGGCACCCTGCACACACCCCAAGGGAGCATCACAAATAAAATTAAAAAATGGAAGTCGGGGGGCCAGGGGGCTGGATGTGAAGTCAGGGGGCTTTGGTAGGAAGTTGGGGGGGCGGGCCCTGAGATGCCCCACTGTAACTACAGGCCTGCTTTGGACCCACTCTGGTGTCCTACAGTCTTATATTTTAAACTCAAGCATTCTAATTTATACCAAGAAATAAAAACATGTGACAATGGCAGATTGGGGAAAAACTGATGTAAAAAAACTTCTGAGAAGTGGCATGAGCAGGACAGAGCTGTCTACAGGGGATTGGAACAAGTTTGCAGAACTGTTATTTCTCTCTTCCCATCTCCTGCAGCTGCCTGCACTGTCACGCCCCCCCCCCCAAGCTACTCCTGGAGGTCAGGAAGACCCTCAGGAACAGGGTGGGATGTAGCACTGGATGTTATAACCTGAGAGGAAATCAGCAGAAATTATCCTCTTCCCCTCTTTCAG